AAAGAGTACAAGAGTATAAACTGTTCCTCAATACTCCAAAGAGTACAAGAGTATAAACTGTTCCTCAATACTCCAAAGAGTACAAGAGTATAAACTGTTCCTCAATACTCCAAAGAGTACAAGAGTATAAACTGTTCCTCAATACTCCAAAGAGTACAAGAGTATAAACTGTTCCTCAATACTCCAAAGAGTACAAGAGTATAAACTGTTCCTCAATACTCCAAAGAGTACAAGAGTATAAACTGTTCCTCAATACTCCAAAGAGTACAAGAGTATAAACTGTTCCTCAATACTCCAAAGAGTACAAGAGTATAAACTGTTCCTCAATACTCCAAAGAGTACAAGAGTATAAACTGTTCCTCAATACTCCAAAGAGTACAAGAGTATAAACTGTTCCTCAATACTCCAAAGAGTACAAGAGTATAAACTGTTCCTCAATACTCCAAAGAGTACAAGAGTATAAACTGTTCCTCAATACTCCAAAGAGTACAAGAGTATAAACTGTTCCTCAATACTCCAAAGAGTACAAGAGTATAAACTGTTCCTCAATACTCCAAAGAGTACAAGAGTATAAACTGTTCCTCAATACTCCAAAGAGTACAAGAGTATAAACTGTTCCTCAATACTCCAAAGAGTACAAGAGTATAAACTGTTCCTCAATACTCCAAAGAGTACAAGAGTATAAACTGTTCCTCAATACTCCAAAGAGTACAAGAGTATAAACTGTTCCTCAATACTCCAAAGAGTACAAGAGTATAAACTGTTCCTCAATACTCCAAAGAGTACAAGAGTATAAACTGTTCCTCAATACTCCAAAGAGTACAAGAGTATAAACTGTTCCTCAATACTCCAAAGAGTACAAGAGTATAAACTGTTCCTCAATACTCCAAAGAGTACAAGAGTATAAACTGTTCCTCAATACTCCAAAGAGTACAAGAGTATAAACTGTTCCTCAATACTCCAAAGAGTACAAGAGTATAAACTGTTCCTCAATACTCCAAAGAGTACAAGAGTATAAACTGTTCCTCAATACTCCAAAGAGTACAAGAGTATAAACTGTTCCTCAATACTCCAAAGAGTACAAGAGTATAAACTGTTCCTCAATACTCCAAAGAGTACAAGAGTATAAACTGTTCCTCAATACTCCAAAGAGTACAAGAGTATAAACTGTTCCTCAATACTCCAAAGAGTACAAGAGTATAAACTGTTCCTCAATACTCCAAAGAGTACAAGAGTATAAACTGTTCCTCAATACTCCAAAGAGTACAAGAGTATAAACTGTTCCTCAATACTCCAAAGAGTACAAGAGTATAAACTGTTCCTCAATACTCCAAAGAGTACAAGAGTATAAACTGTTCCTCAATACTCCAAAGAGTACAAGAGTATAAACTGTTCCTCAATACTCCAAAGAGTACAAGAGTATAAACTGTTCCTCAATACTCCAAAGAGTACAAGAGTATAAACTGTTCCTCAATACTCCAAAGAGTACAAGAGTATAAACTGTTCCTCAATACTCCAAAGAGTACAAGAGTATAAACTGTTCCTCAATACTCCAAAGAGTACAAGAGTATAAACTGTTCCTCAATACTCCAAAGAGTACAAGAGTATAAACTGTTCCTCAATACTCCAAAGAGTACAAGAGTATAAACTGTTCCTCATGGAGAGAAAAGATTGAGTACGGGAGAGATATGGTAAGTATCAACGTGATTTTAGGGGTATATTTGATTGATTGGTTTTGAAATTTGAAAATGAGAGAATATGGAAGGAGAGAGATTTGTGGCCAGAGGTAGGAGATGATTAGGGTTAGGTTTAGGGGTATATACACATAGATACGCATGGACGTGGAAAAATAATATCAATCATGATTAATAATACAAATCAAATATAATATGCGTAATCATGATAATTATAATAACAATTAATCAAATAATATTACTAACAAAATATTAACAACCAAATATTTATATATATGCTAAAGTACAAAGCTAAGGTGAATATTAATACAATACAAATAATAATGATAATAATAATAATAATGAATAACAATAATAATGGATGACATATATTTATTTAAAAAGTTTTTACCTCAATAATTAAATTATAATTAGTAAAACATAAAATGGTATTATTAAATCATAGAAAATTCTAGGAAATCAAGTAAAACATAAATACTATTTTGAAAATAATAATTTAATATTTTAAATACCCGAAAAATTATTTTAACTAGTATTAAAAATTCATGGTCCTTACATTTGAACAATCTCAGCCCGAAGTTACATCCCCGATGAATGAGTTTGAGATCTCCATTGAGGTACTTGGAAGGAGGCCAGGTTACCTGAAGGGGTATGGTATGCTGAGGTCGTGGCTTTAAAGGAGACAGTAGTTGTGCAAGGCGAACAGATTGCCTCACAAGCCGAACAGATTGCCTCACAAGCCGAGCAGATGAACGCACAAGCTGAGCAGATGAACGCACAAGCCCCGAAGACTGCTGATCTTGAGGCTTTAGTGCATCAGCTATTTGCACGTAGCCAGCTTGCAGCGAGCGGTGGTAGTAGAGATTTCTCATCGAGATGAGGTCAGACTTGCATTTAATTTTTCATTATTAGACTTACTAGTATTTAGACCCGTGCAAAGCACGGTTTCTAAAATATTTTCTGCAAATATTGAACATGTTACCAAAATAAATTATTCTACTTTAGATATGAAGTAGAATAATTTTCCTTGTTTAGTTGTTCAAGCTTTTCCTCAGTACACTCATTTAATGAAATTACAATATATGTTCACTAATTAGTTTACTTATTTTGTATAACACGAAGTATTTGAAAACAATTAAAAGTGATGAAATGCAGGCTAAAGCTTTCATATGTGCATTTCCCCACATTAGCTTCATGTACGGACAAAGTTGGTAACTTCACAATTCTTAGAATCAAGGATACATGAAATTCATGAATTTCATTTCATTATGTGAAGAACATCAGAACTGAGATAGTGATTGCATCATTTGTTGCATTCCCCACATTAGCTTCATTTCATTTCATTTCATTATGTGCAATTCCCCACATCTGCTACCAAGAGTTTGCACGTCCATCTCTTGTCTCTCTTGTGAGAGGTAGCTTATAAACTCGTATATATATCCTTATTTTTCATTTTGGAAGTCATTCAGCTTGTTATAGTTTTATATATCTTGACTTATTCATTGTTGAAAAAGAAAAATGAAATGGTCAAGCTGTTTGTAGTGTACCAAGCAATATAGATTTTAAATTATTCATTTAGAGATCATGATTATGAATATGATTTGCCCAATTGGTTTCATGAATTGACACTTACTTATTATTTACTATCATCAGTCACTAGCAGCCCTTCACCCTGTAAAAACAAGCCATGATGCAACTTGTAAAAGCTCTGTGCCTCTGTTATTGTTGTACGCACCGTGCAATTCTCGGTATTGTTTGGTTAGTTACTGACTATATTTCGCAAAACTAGGAAGAGCATCACTGTAGGAAGCAGCTAAAGATTAAATATGTACTAAGTTCTTTCCTTCAGAGATCATGAATATCATTTGAGTAATCGATTTATTACTGAATTGTACTAAGTTCACCATGCAAAACAAGCAAAGCTGCTATTGCAAGTGCTCTGTGATTGTTGCAGTGTACAATTTACTTTTGGTATTATTTGGTGATTTGCTCATAAAATTTCACAGAAGTAGAAGCATTAGTATCTCAGATACAAGGAGGAGGATCCATGGAGGCCGACAACGAAGACAAATATACAAGAGACGGAACCACATACTTCAGAGGACAAATGATGTATCCTTGGTTTTTCTGCTTGGTTGGTCCAGCCGATATAACAAATGTGGTCAGGCTGATGGGGCTTCTGACATTCCTACCAAGTTCCTGTCCTACACTGTATGCGAGAGGCAAACACTGTTGCAGATGCACTATCTAAACTGGGACATGTTCTTCCTCAAATCCATTTGTTCTTTGTAATTAATGATACAAATTTGATATTGTTGTTTCTAGTTTTCTTGATGACTTTATGTACTTGGATATGCAAGAGGAAGTTTGTAAATTAACGCTTTTAGCGCTCAAGGGGAAATGAAAAAAGACTTTTATGTTGATGTGAATGTGATCAAATTTTTTGTGGATGTTCAGATTCAGTGTAGGCTTGTATTTGACAGAAAATATATTATTTTTGGCGATACAAATTAGTGTCGATAAGCGTCAATAAAAGTAACACTTTTGCCGACGTTATATTTAGTCGCTAAATGTAACACTTTTGCCGACGACATATTGTCACCAAAAGTAATATCTTTTGGCGACGCAATCTTGCGTCGGCAAAAGTATACTTTTAGCGACGCGGAATGGAGCGTCGCTAAAAAGCTTATCTTTGGCGACGCATGATTTGCATCGGCAAAAGTGTAGCTTTTAGCGACGCTTTATTCTGCGTCGCTAAAAGTATACTTTTGCTGACGCATTGCCCTTTGCCGACGTTAAGTACGTCGCCAAAAGTGCAAGATTTCCCGACGCCATTACGCATATGGAAAAATTCAGCATGCTTTTGCCGACGCAAAATAATATGCGTCGCTAAAAGATGTACTTTTCCCGACGCATGTCGCGTCGCCAAAAGTGTACTTTTGGCGACGCAGTGTATTTGCGTCGCCAAATACATTCCTTGACGCACTTTTGGCGACGCGTTAGCGACACTGTATTTTTCGTCGGGAAATATTTTTCCCGACGTTTTTTAAATATTTGCCGACGTTTTTGTTTCGTCGGCAATGTTGTATTTTGTTGTAGTGAGGATAACCCACTAAAGTGATCAATTAATTTGGGTTAACGAGTATTTAAATAAATCATGGGGTTATATGTGCAGATATCAGGTTATAATTGTAATTTGATGAGGGGCCAAATTACAAATGTACAACACCTATATATATGTGGTTATGGTCCCTAATTTAGGGTTAGCCACTCTCATTCTCTTATCCCTATCTAAAGAGATCCATAAGAGAGAAACCCTAAGGTTAGAAGATCATCAAACCCTAATCAGGTTTTTCTCAATGGATTCAGGTATATGCTTCCGTACCTTTAGGTTCTTGTTAATATCTTTGAATTAATCATGGCTTTAAGGTTTAGATCTTAAATCTTAGATCTAACAGAAAAAACATACTTCTGGGGGGAAAAAATCAAGAAATCCAGGTGTAGTAAACATATCTTCATCCAAAAGACTTAACGCAATACTCCTTAGTGTTGTTGTCTGGGAATGTATACTCTCCGGTGATCTTATATACTAATGGTGATTGAGTACCCAAATATAGTTTTAACATTATAGGTGTGCCACCATCCTTAATGATTTGACATTTCTGCAATTCACCAAAAATATGTTGTATAATCTATCAAATCATTAAGAATTATATAATATGAATTTTAAATAGATTTAAGAAGCAAATTTACCAATCGATCCATAGCCCGACACATGTTCCTTGAGCCATCTGTATAGGTTGCTTGACCATGCAAACTTGACGCCCGATTCTGCACATTACGTCTTGCCTCCTCCTGCATGTCATTATTATATTTAGATTTGTAATCAAACAAGACAAAATAAATTACCTACTAAACATTTGATTTTAGTTTAAATTATAACCTTCTTGTCCTCTGAATCATAATAAGCACACAAATTAGCCCATGAGTCTCTATCAATCCAAGAAAACACCGGAGTAGTCTAGAGAGCCTCCCTCTCTGCTTCAGAAGTATTTTTCCACACCTCAAAACACTCTTGTTTTACCTAACACCATTATATCGGACCCTCTCCTGCAACTAAGACTTCATTCCTCGATAAACAATATGATGGGAGAGAGGCTGCTTAGGATCCAGAGGGAGAAACTCATAATCCTTTTGCATATTCAATAAATGAATCACATGGTTAAAATATTATGTACCATATGATAATAAATTAATCAGATAAATCAAAATATAAATGTATTTATACCTGACATCTTATAAAGAAATTGTCAAATGACCTATTATGTTCATCGCCCTATTCTAAATGGAGAGGATATTTGCAGTACACACGGCTCTCCCCCCCCACATACTTTCCCCATTTCTCAGCATAGTCACCAATGGGGCGGCCCCTATTATGGAGGTACAAAGGCCATGCCTTCTCACCCTTTTCAGCATCAGGCTTAAGCTAATGGGAGATGAGACAGATAAGATATTAGATAATATAAAGAATAATAAATAATATAAATTAAAATGATATATATACAAACTGCTACCTCCATCGCCCTGTCGCTCCGCACGTCTAAGAGCACGATTAGGACGAAGATTAAAAGAGTGTTTTGGAACACGTGCCGGTGCAGATGCAGATGCAACTAGACAATAAAAATAATTTATGTAAGTACAAACTGCATGATCTGAGCTTGCAGCTTAAGAAATTACCAAAACAAACACTTAACAATAGAATTGATTAGAAGATGACGAAAACAACTACATTAATATCACACTTAGGCAATACCACCAAGTTAATATCATATCTAGGCAAATAAATGTTATCTATTGTGTATCTGTAGCAGATACACACATGTAGCTGCTGTGTATCTGTAGCAGATACACACATAGTTGCTGTGTATCTGCAGCAGATACAAGTGTGTATCTGCTGCAGATACATAACAGTGTGTGTATCTGCTGTGTACAAGCAGCATATACACACATGTAGCTGTCGTGTATCTGCAGCAGATACATGTGTGTAGCTGCTGCAGATACACAGCAGTGTGTGTATCTGCTGTGTATCTACAGCAGATACATGTGTGTAGCTGCTGCAGATACACAGCAGTGTGTGTATCTGCTGTGTATCTGCAGCAGATACACAGCAGTGTGTGTTATCTGCTGTGTATCTGCGGCAGACACACAGCAAATAAATGTTATCTGCTGTGTATCTCCCCACCGTTAATCTTTTAATGTTTATCTTTTAAACTCTCATCCTCCTTCCACCTCTTCCACTTCATCTTTTGCCCAGGTCAGTGCCAATATGATTCTGACATGAATAAAATCTGAATTTCCAATCTCATAGGATATACCAGAATGTGCTTTCTCATCCTTCATCTTCGGTCATCATGCACTGGCACTAGGTTTTTTAGTAGGAAATTGCAAGTGTTGGTATTTGTTCATCTTGAAATTGTAGATTAAGAAAAACAAGACCATGCTATTATTCTTTTACAACTGATTGCTAGGTAAATCATTGATATGCATTATTGATTCAAGTGTTATTTATTTTGGTCATTGAAGTGTTAATGTGTTTCTTTGATTTATAATAGAGCTTTGGTGGGGTGCATATCATTTTTTTGCTGTCATGTGTATGTGTTAACAGCTGCTGTGTATCTGCAGCAGATACATGTGTATGTAAGAAAAAATGGAACAGCATTTCATATAGCAAAAGTAAACTCATCATTCTTGTCTTGATAACTGAACCAAGCAATATCAATATGACTAGCAAATTGAAGCAACAAGCTATTTGCATGCATGAGATATATATACTCAAATAGAAACTTTAATGTATAGATTTATGTGGCTAGAGACAATGCTACATATAATTAACAACATATGGCCCAAACTTAGCCTAACTAATCTTCCTATCTAATAATAGGTCATACTAAAACTAGGGTTCACCTCTTGTCCTTCTCCAAATGAACAATATGGCAAAGGAGCGAGAGTTGGTGATGAAGGTGACACTGAACCACCCACCATCTCCTCACTCTGAAATTTAACACCATCATCATTGCTATAATAAGTAGTAGGAAAAAAAAGGTTAGACCCTTCATTAAGGTTCATACTGATTTCAGCCTGATGAAGCCAAATCTGAGCCTTGAGGGACTTAACATAGTTCATGGCTTCCTCTAGCATTGAGACAGTGTCCATCTTGCTCCCTCCAGGGACCAAGCTCTTCAAGATTCGGAACCGGTCGCTTATTCGATGGCGCCTTTGCCTCGCTGCAACGCTCTAAGGATCGGTGTATATCTACTGTGTATCTGTAGTAGATACACACATGTAGCTGCTGTGTATCTGCAGCAGATACATGTGTGTACCTG